ACCCCGCCAAAAAAAAAAATGTATATATATATATAGTCATTTGTATCAGTAATCATTGAGCCTCACTCAAAGCCTTCTATCTTGACAACAGATAAGATTTATGGCGTCCCAATCTGAAGTGAATAGACATTTCTCAGATGAAGAAGAAACAGCAGCAAATAAACACGAAAAAATGTTCAACATCCCTGGTCATTTGAAAAATGCAGATGTAAAACAACACAGAGCCAACAGTTGGAAACTGGATAAAGAAGATGTGGTTTTTCTATAAAATGGAATATTAGCCATAAAGAACAAGAAAATAGATTCATTCATAGGAAAATGGATACATATTGAAGATATACTCCTAAGTGAAATAAATAAGTCACACATGTGTAAATACCGAATAGTCTCTCTGGTGTGAATAATCTGCAATAATACAGAAATCCTAATAAGATTACTGACATTTAGAAATGGGAAGAAAGGAGCTAAAGGTGTAGGGAAGGTGGGATGGGTAGGGGAAGGGTAATAAGGGAAAAGAAAAAAATGTGAGATAATGAAAAGATGGAAATAAAGTGTTTGTAGATGGGGAGGGGAGGAGGGGGTGAAGGGAGGGCAGGGGTAAGGGAAAAAATGAGAATCAAGGCTTGTCATGTAGAGGTACAAGGTCCCAACAATGAATGCAACTGTACTGTATCCCTAAAATGTACCAATAAACTCAATTAAAGCTGAAAAAAAAAAAACACACAGAGATTACACCTCTCTCCAGGAAGAAGGGCTGTTATCAAGAAATCAACCAGTAACAGGGCCAGGGATTTAGCTCAGTGGTGCTGCTGCCTGCCTCACAAGTGCAAGGTCCTGAGTTCAATCCCTGGAACCAAAAAAAAAGAAACAAAGAAAGACATCAACCAGGAACAAATGCTCGAGGTGGTATGGGGAGAAAGGAATTCTTCTCCACTGTGGGAAGGAGTGCAGACTGATGCAACCACTATGGAAATCAATATGGAGATGCCTCAAAAAACTAGAATTAGAGGTCCCATTTGACCCAGCCACCCCTCTGCTGGGTATCTTTCCAAAAGAATTAAAAGCATCACACCACAGTGATATACACACACCCATGTTTATACTGGCACAGTTTTAATAGCTAAATCTTGGAAACAGTCCAAATGCCTATCAACTGGTGATTGGATAAAGGAGATGTGGTTTTTTAGTAGAATGGAGTACTACCCAGCCATAAAGAAACATAAACTAGGGACATTTATAGCTAAATGGAGGCATGTTGAGGCCGTATTCTTAAGTGAAATAAAGAGGACACACCTATAAATACCAAATTGTTTCTCTGGTGTGAGAAAATGAAAGTATAAACAAGGACCAAAATGTATAATAGATATTGTAAAATAGGAGGAAAATGTTCAAAGGGGAAGAGGGACTGGGAAGGGGGAGAGAAGGAAAGGAAAGGGAAAGAAAAAAAATTGAGAAAAGGAAAAAGTGGAAACAATGCTTATGTATATAGGGAGGGGTGGAGGGGTTGAAGGGAGGGCAGGGGACTGGGAAAAACTTAAGAACCTAGATATATCGTGTACAAGGGCTAGGGATTAGCTCAATGGCACTGCACCTGCCTCACAGGCACAAAGTTCTAAGTTCGATCCCTGGTACCAAAAAATATATATAGGTACAGATTCTCAATGATTCCCAATGTGATCATAAGGTGTACTAAAATGTACCAATAAACTCAGTAGAAAAAAAAATTTACAGTGGTCCAAGATTAAGACATATACACACATATTTTTTTCAAATTCTATCCCTATATAATGATGGGCTCCAGAATAATTTTGTATATTTGCCTGTATCGATATACAATGTGAGTGTGAAGATATAAAACATCTTTAAATATGTGATTGTATATGTATTCCATTTTGTATTAGAAAAAAAAGTCAGTGATTTGCATAAGTCCTACAGCTTTCACACTGAACTATATCTGCAAAAACACTTAAAGGGAGGTAAGAAACCTATGCTGACAGGGTGGTAAATGTCTTTTTTGTGGGGTGGGGCTATGGGAGATCTAACTTGGGACCTTGTGCTTGCAAGGCACATGGCAGAACCACTGAGCTAAATCCCCAGCCCATCATTTTTGAGGTCAGTGTTTGCTCATGGAGGCCTTGTCCTCACAAGTCCTGGAATCAAAGTTCTCATGGCGTACTGGTTTTCGTAAAGCATATTTGTTTCTAATTATAATCTCACATTCAAATGTTCTTAAAACATTGTTTCCATAAAATTCCCACTATTTCAAAGTATTTTGTTTATGCACTTTATTACCCCCAAAAATATCAGACTAAAAAATACATCATAGGGGCAGCACGATACAAGTTGGGATTTTTTTTTTTTTTTCAAAGACTGGTAAATTGGAGCCGAGCATGGTGGCGCACGCCTGTAATCCCAGCACTCGGGAGGCTGAAGCAGGAGGATCGCTGAGAGTTCGAGACCAGCCTGGGCTACACAGTGAGTTCCAGGTCCGTCTCAACCTCATAGTGAGACCCTGTCTCAAAAAACCAAAAAAAAAAAAAAAAAAAAAAAAAAAAAAAAAAAAAAAGACTGGTAAATTGGATGGACACAGTGAAAATCCACCCACCTGTAACAATGAGAAATCCATCCAGCATCTGGAAGAAGCCGTAGGCCAGTGGAAAGTTAAACATCTGGACCAGGTGCTCGGCAGTGAACGACAGCTGGAGCATGGTGAGGCACATCTGGATGTTCTGAGCTCCGGTTTCCAAGGAAATTGTCCTGCACCTGGTGATGAAAAGGCCTGTTACACATCAGCAAGAAGGACTACTCTTACATTTCCTCTTACAGATACAACACACAGGAGCTCTGAGGTCAGGCAGTGGAGGTGCTGGGTCACTCAGTAGTTATTTTCAGAGCACCTGCTGTGTAGCATGGTCGCCAGAGAGGCACTGTGGGGTGGGGCCTTATGAACCTGCCTTAGGAATCTGGGTGAAACACACACACAACACACACACACACACACACGCTGAAAAGGCCCAGAAACAACACAAGACAAAGTAACCCCAGGCCAGGCGGTTACTACAGAAATTCAGACATGGCAGAGTATTTACAGAAGCTTCACAGAGGAATGAAGATGCAGACTGGAGTGCAGGAGGCATTGAATGTGAGGAAAATTAAAGAAACTAAAGCTCCAGGAGAAGCTAGGCTGCAGGCCCGGATACGCACCTGTATGCCAACCCTTAGGAGGATCATGGTGAGTTTGAGGCCAGCCTACACCACCGAGTAGGTTCGAGACCAGACTAAGCTACAGTGTGACCCTGTCTCATAATCCAAAAATAAATTTAAAAAAAAGCTCCAGGAGCAGGTGTAAGTGTGACTTATTCAGGAGGCTTTGCAGTCAGCCCACCAATCTGCATGGAGAGAAGGCCTGAAGGAGATGAGGATGGAGAGTTGAGAGTAAGACATGAAAGAAACAGTACAGCACTAGAAATGAAGCACAGCCTTAAACAAAAACCAAAGGTCAAAGACAGTAGTCTTTGGTGAAAGGATTAATGTTCATTTTTTCTCATTTCTACTTTCCTATATTTATTATTTTTCTCATTGCAGCAAATGAGAAAGGAGAAGAGAGAAGCTAGGACTTGGGAGTCAGACTAAGCTCATCTGTTTCCAGCTGGTGATGGAGCCTGTAAGCTTTCACCCATGGAATTGGCGAGAGGAAAAGTGTGTTCTGAGGATAAACATGGTACGTGTAAGCTAGAGTGGAATGTGGGGCTGGAAATCCAATCAGTGGTACAGGGCAAAGGCTATGATCCCATTTTATTTCTGTTTGCCTATAGCTAGCTACCCTTCCCTCCTTCCCGGCTTCATCGGGTCACTTGCCAATAACTCAGTATGGCTGCGCGGCACTGCTGGGACTCACTGCTGCACCACTCACCAGACAGACCCACTCGGTCCTCATCTCAGTCGGGCCACCAAGTACGAGAGGACAAGGTGGCTGACTGCACCCTGCCCTCACAGTGCTCTCTTCTCCAGACTCAATTATAAATTTCAAACATCAACTTTTGTGTTTCTAATTGTTGATTTTGGGAACAGACCACTGGTTAAGCCTAACTGTCAACTTCACTAGGTTAAGAGGCTCCTGGAAAAGTGACTAGGTCATGGGGCGCTGTCCTTAGCATGGCGCTGACCCGCTGCTCACAGCTGGATGTGCTGCCAGGAGCTGGGGCCCTGCTGGGAAGTGAGTGTGAGAGTCTGTCTCCCATGGGTACGCTGCCCATGCTCTGCTTCCTGGCCACCATGAACGAGGCTGCTCTGCCCCACCTCGCCCTTCGGCCTTGCAGTGTGTATATTTGAGCCAGACCGCCATGGACTGAACCCTCCAAACTGTGAGCCAAATAACCTCTCCTCCTTTTATGTTGCCCGTGTCAGGTATTTTGCCCAGCAGTGGCAAAGCTAATTCACCAACCCAAGTTCAAATCTTAACTCCAGTAGCTTTCGCTCTAGGAGCTGGGTAAGTTACTTGTCCGAAGAGTTTACTCATCGGTAAAATGAGGGTTGTGGACCTGCTTCTCAGGGTGGTAGCAAGAATCAGACAGCCTGGTGGATCCTTGCCCGTACCTGGTAAAATGCTAAATGCTCCTTAGTGGAATGGAGGCAGCATAAAGACAACCAAAAATCTCCCATCCTGCATCTTGGGAATTCAAGCACATAGTTCACTTTTCTTTAATAATTCTTTTCTGATTTTAAAAATAAAAACTTAGAAAATATACAAGGAAAATGTCAAGAACTTAAATTATCCTGTTCTCGCTACTCAAAATTACCATGTGATATATTTTCCAGTATTTTTCAACATATAAAATCCTTTTTTCTTTCTTCTACAAAGCGAGACTCAAACTTTGTGTTACGTTAAGGAAAGCTTACCTCTTGAGTACTTTCCAAGATCATTAAAACTGGTGCATCATCTCCATCTCATGGCTTAGTCATGAATTAAATATCTCCGTATTGTTAGATATTTAAATTGTTCCCATTTTATATTCATAAACAACATGATAATTGTCAGCCTATTAATATTCAGGTGCATAACTGATGGCACCAGCTTTAGAACAAGTCTTTAAAAGCAAAATGACTGAGCTAACAACCATAGATATTTATAAGTCTGTTGACAGGACACTGGAACGGCCTTCCCGAAATTTTGCATCGATTTTCTGTCCCTCATCCTTGTATGATAATGCTCCCCTTATTACAGGAATGACAACGTGGAGTATTACCATTTTTACTATTTCACAGCATTTTTAATTACTTGTCCCAACTGGTAAGGATAATATTTAAGACAAGTTACTTATTGTCCAGCAGAAAGTTTGTCTTTCTTCTCTGGTGTTTCCTAATTAGTCCTTCTTAAAAATTTGGCCACCCAGGGCCGGGGATTTAGCTCTGTGGTTCCGCCACCTGCCTTGCAAGCTCAAGGACCTGAGTTCAATCCCCAGTACGAAAAAACAAAAAATTTTCCCCTCCCCCAAAAAATGTGGCCCAAAGACAGGATAAGGACATCATTTCTGGAAACTAATTCAGGCCCTGGAATGATCTCTGTGTTTAGGGAAACAATCTTATTCCTCAATCTCATTGTTGGAATGCAGAAAGAAATGTGTCCAGACCTCAACCAGCTGTGTTAATACCCCAAATCTAGTTTCACACATTACAACTTGCCATCAATCTGGCCTTTAGTTTACATAAAGAATTACTATAACCTCTCACCCTCTTTCTGCTGAATGTCCTGTCTGCCCACCACATAAGTCAAAGCACTTACTCTCTCCGACACAGTCAAGGCCAAAAAGCCTGCCAATGGCTCAAAAGAGCCTCTGGAGGATTGAAAGCCCCTGCCTAGCATGGGTGAGACCCTGGGTTCAAGCCCCAGCCCTGCAAAAGAGGAAAAGTTCATGGAGAATGGAGCTGTACCTTTGCCAGGACTGGTGGGTAAGGAGAGCCAGCAGGAAGCCGGCAACGTGACCAATCAAAGGGAAGAGGAAGCTTATGGTCAGAAGGGTGGTATCTGAACTCCAGAATTCCTTAGACAGCACCACACCAGCGACTGCGACCACCAGGAGGAGGAGCCCACCAACAATGGCTCCAACCTAAAATAGGAAATCGGTAAAATAAGCACATGTAAACATCTTGGGGTTTTCTGGTCTGCAATGCACAAATCCACCAAGGGTCCCTAAAGCTGCGAACTTAGAAATTTTCGAACAATGAGGGAACTCTGAGAACACTAAGTCCCATTTCATTTTATAGTAGTTCTCTATATCCATGGGGGAGGGGTGTTCCAGGACCACAGGCAGTACTGAATCTAGATAGTGTAGACATACATTCCTCTACACACATCCTAGGACAGCTTATAAACTAGGCACGATAAATGATTAACAACTGTTAACAGAATAGAACAAACGAGTTAGTTGATTCCTGATCATGCACATATGTAATGGGACAAAAACTCTACAGGCGTGGTGGATAGCAAATGGAATATAAAAAATGAGAAGAGAGGTCTTGGGGAAGTCCAGACTGGTAAACAGGGGTGCAAAGACCCCCACTGTTCTACCAACTTCCGGTGGCAAGAAGGGGACGGAAGTGAGTGAAGCCACAGAAAGGTTCTGTGAATGTCTTGAGAACTGGAGTTGTTTATTATGTTATTACAGCATCTGCAGCCCAGGGTGATTCACATCTGGGCAGGAGGAAGCAGGAAAGCCCAAGATTTCATCACTTGTAAGGAACAGTGTTCAATGGGAGACATTAGTTGTTTACTTCTAGAATTTTCCACCAAGCTTTTATTTTCAGAGTGTAGTTGGCTGCAGATAACTGACCCCAGGAAAAGCAAAACTGTGGGAGAAGGAGAGGACGCCATGGAGGAAAACCTTGAGGTCCAAGTGAGCAGATGACCTGGCAACATTAGAAAATGGGGAGGTTTGGCACAATTCTGAGTCGTCTTATTTTATGATCAGTATCTTTTCTCATGAAGTAGAGGATCTGACTAGAAGGATTAAAGGGTAGAGTTCAACATGGTTAGGAGAAAATTATGAAACAAGTAGAATCTGACAGTAAGCATCTATCTAATGCACAAGAAAATACCTAAGGAATATTTATAAAGAGAAAGGGATCATGTGGATCACAGTTCTGCAATTCAAGACCCTCTGCTCAGCTCTGGCAAGAGCACGGAGCAGAGGGCATGACTGGGGTGGGGGCGTGTGCAAGAGCAGTGAGTCGAAGAGGCAGGGAGAGGTTCAGGGCACACCTGGAGGGCTTTCTTCTAACCATCTGTCCTCGCAGGAGCTTCTCCAGCCCCGGAGACCTGCATTGATCCCTTCCAAAGGCGACGGGTTCATGGCCTCCTTACCTCCTCCGAGCCCACTCTTGGAAGTGCCACCGCTTGGGCGTCCACACCTCCAGCCCTCGCAGTGTCCAACAGCCCTTCACACCAGAGCTCCACCCTGGTAACCTGTCTCTGCACCTGCCCAGCCTGAGCACCCTCCTCTCCCACCAGCAGCAGCAGCTTCTGGCACTCTGACCCCTACCCTTTCTGTCGATGTGAAATCTACCCATTCCTCATCATTCAGCCTTAGCTACTGGGAATGGAACAGGACAAATACTCCACCTTCTTCCATGTGAATACACCTCCCCGTCCTAGGCATCGAACCCAGGGCATGCACACTGACCTCTATCCCCTGCCCCTCTTTATTCTGGGATGAGGTCTCCCTAATCAGGTCATTAAGTTCCCAGGCTGGGTTCACACTTGTGATCCTCCTGCCTCAGCCTTCCAGAGTGCTGGAAGGGCAGACATAGGTCTCCATATCCAGCTCCGCCACTTTGCTTTTGTTTGTTTAACAAAAATTTAAAATTCAACAATCATTCTAATCGCTTGAGTTTTAGATCAGACAAAAAGGAAACATGGCCTAAGGAGTTTGGGATAATCAGGCTCTCTCAGTGAGCTCCCACCACCCCACCCCAACCTCAGCTGGATGACAAGCTGTGCATCTCCTTACCACGTTGACTTTGACGTGAAATGATTCCAAGTGAGAAGGGTTAACCGAAGACTAAAGAAAAACAAAAAGCAAACAAAACAACCTAATGTGCCACAGATGTGCTGTGGGGGGAGTGGGGGTTTCTACCACTCACATACAGGAACACACAGAGACCGCACTGACCTGAAGATGCTCAAAGAAAGCCTCCCATTGTAAAGTCCCGTCTACCTCTGTCAAAAGGGATTCCAAAGTTTAAAACCCACCAGGAGCAAAAGAGGAAAAGTGAGGCTGTTCAGAAAATGTGCGACACTTAAAATTAAAATAGGACCAAGAAGAGAGCATGAAGTGCTAAAATAACGATAAGCCACCTGTACGGTTCTCTAGACTCCTTAGGCGTATCATGAAGCGTGTCATACCACAACTGCCATGGGCTTGCCGAGGGAAACATTCTTTATAGATAATATAACATGTCATCCAGGAGATTTGTTTCATTTCTCCACCGACAGTGATGGCCCAACAGAGGATAAGGACGCACCAGAATTGGGGGGGGGTGTTAATGGTGAGAAAAGTACACACATAGCCATATGTACAGCGGCACAACTCACAACAGGTAAATCTTGGAAGCAGCCTATCCATGTCCCTGCACAAACGGATAAAGTGTGGTGCTTATCACAATGGAGTACTGCTCTGCCATAAAGAAGGATAAACTTGAGTCATTTGTAGGGAAATGGATGCAACTTGGCACCGTTATATTAGGTGAAATAAATCAGACACACAAGCTTAAATATTACGTGGTTTCTCTTCTATGAAAAACCCAAAATAAATAAAGAGCAAAATAAAAGATAGATAATAGGAAAAAGGAAGATAGATTTTTTTTTTTTTGGAAAGGCTAAAGGGGCCAAGAGATGGAGGAGGCTGAAAAGGAAGGGTTATAAAAAGAATTAAGATGTATTATGCCCATGTACTGACTGCCCACAATGAATGTATATTATGTCTTGCAAACATGTACTCATAAAAAATTAAAACAGAAAAAGTAGTCAAAGAACGAGACCTAGAAACATAGGAAGTTTCCATAGCCGTACTCTCGTCTCAGATTTTATGAATAAATCACAACCGAACACTGCCTATTAGAAAGCTTCTCCTGCAGGAACAATGATAAAAGTGTTAAGGAAGGGACTTTAGTTCAGAAGCACAGCTGGTACAGAGTGAAATCAAGCCTATCAACATGATGGTCACCTGTGCAACCCTGACGCCACCTCACGGCTGCGCGGCCCGTGGTGCCTGCCCCTCCTCTTCCCACTTCCTCCGCCCTCCTCCCAGGGTGGGGCGACGGTGGGTTTACGAAGTCTCCCAGGAAAGTGCCAAGCAGCCTCATTTTCAGCGACAGCGAGAGCTTAAACTAACCAAACCATACATCCAAAGTGAAAACTGACGCTTGCAGAATCTCCAGGTAACCTAAAAGTCCTTATAAATGTAAAATATAAGATTGGGGGGGGTACCGGCGATTGAACGTGAGTCCTTGCGCTTGCAAGGCAGGCCACCAAACCGCTGAGCTACATCCCGGCCCTAAGATTTTGTTTTTAATCTTCAGGAAAACAGCACATTACAGCCTTTCGCCTTCTAAAGTGACACACAGCTGGAAAAGCAAAAGACACCCTTGAGATTGAGCTCATTGTTAATTATGCCTCCTCTTGGAGCTCAGCATGGTGGCACACACCTGGAAACACTCAGGAGGCTGAGGCGGGAGGATTGCTGTGAGTTCAAGGCCAACCTGGGCTACATAGCAAGACCCTATCTCAAACAAAACAAAACAAACAAATAAAGGGCCTTGAGAATGCACAGGCCCTAGTGTTCCTTGTCCACATTTGGGCCTTAGCTTTTCTGTCTCTAAACCAAGTCTTACGTTTTCCAGGGGCCTCTGAGAGTGTCCCAGCAAGGCTTAGAGCAGTGGAGGGAGCCTGGGACTGGATCCCAAGCCTTAGCGCACATGAGGGAAAGTGCAAGCTGCAGGACCCTAGCCACTGACACCAGTCTTTCTGGCCTGTCAGGTCTTTGAGTGTGAGCAGGATTCTTACCTTGAGGATGATTTTCGATTGTTTTGGCCACTTGTAGTTCACATAGATGCCAAAGGCCACCGGGACGGTCAGACACAGCAGAGTAATCCCTAAAGAGAAGAAAAACCAACCCATCAGACCACACTGCCTCTTCCCTCACTGCCCAGTCCTTGCCGACGAGTCTAGTTCAATTAGGTCATTTTTAAATTAGACAATCTCTTCATGAAAACTCGTTTTGTTTTGGCATCCATCTCCCATCTTCAAAACGGAAGCTCCCTTTAAAGGCAATGAAGGCTCCAACTCAGGCCTCACTTCCCTCGCAGAACTGCCCCGACAATCACACTGAATTTTGGAGACAAATGGAAATGGAGAGATTCGAAAACAGAGGGCTATTTCAAGTCTGTGAAATTCTTTGGGTGTCACCCTTATATAACCACAGCTGTTATTTCCCTAGGTGAGGCCAACAGGTCATTACTTCACAAAGTCAAGGGTGCCTGTCACAGACACAAAACAGCTCTTGTAACACTGCAAAATAACTTGTCATATTCTCCAAGTGTAGCCAGGGGTCCAAAGATGGGCAGGACAAAGCCTTTGTATGAGCCCGAGTGAATAAGGGCTTTGTAGGCAAGCCTGGGAAGGAGGAAGTGACGTCCGCTTGGCAACAAGACCCATGCTGAGCTTTTCTGGAAACAGTTTGCAAATCGGCCCAAAACCTACCATCCTGCCTCAGAAGTTATATGACTTGTTTGTGGCATTTTGGATTTTAGTTGTTTATGAATGTTTTTCAGAAGGTATTATCAAATATAAACTTACTGATCAGGCAGAGTTGCACTTTCCCGTGCAACTGTAGTTCTAAATAAAGTTTTCACTCAGATGTTATAAATACAATGGGCTCCAGCTGCCTTCAGAAGTCTCTGATCATGGTTTCAACAATGGGCCACAGGTCTGAACCCTCAAGCGGCTCGGTGAGCCTCCAAATTGGCCATTTATAGGGCTTTGAGAATCATGGTTCCTGCCTCTTCTCCAAAGACTGGCAAATCATTTCACCACATTCCCTTCCAAATTTAGCCCACAGAGATCCACGGAGAAAGGTGGGCATTTAGTGAGAAGTACATCCTGGAAAGGAGCTGATGAGAGACAGGCTAGTTGTGATGGGCAGATGGGCTTTGATAACCAGTGAAAATCATTCACCTCTAGTCTATGAGAAAACGTCAAGGCTCCTAGGCCAGGAGAAAGGTGTTGTTGTGCAAAGGTAGAAATAGAATGCACTAAATCCAGTTAAACTCTGGACCATGAAGAGGCCACTTGTGCTGGGCCCGGTGGCACACACCTGTAATCACAGCACGTGGAAGGCTGAGGAGAGAGATTGAAAGTTCAAGGCCAGTCTGGGCAACGTGGCAAGTTCAAGGCCAACCTGAACTATATAGCAAGGCCCTATCCAGAAAAACAGAAAAGGAAGAAGAAAGGAAGGAAGGAAGGAAAATGAAAACAGCCCAACTGCTCCCGGTTGTATAAGAATTCTTGGTTTGGTGGGGGGTTGTTTTGTTTTAAGTAGGATCTATGCTCAACGATAAGCTCTCATAGGTGTCCTGTTTTGTATGTCCCTCCTCTGCCTCCCCAGCTCCTGTGTCGGGAGCTTGGTCCTCAGTGACTGTATTGGTATTCTTTTTTTGTTTGTGGTACCAGGGATCGAATTCAGGTCCTTGTACTTGTGAGGCAGGTGACGGAACCATTGAGCTAAATCCCTGGCCCTCAGTGACTGTGTTGGAAGCCAGAACCTACGAGGTGGAGGGCCTTGAGGGAGGTCATTAGCTCACCTGTTGGGCCCTGTGTAACCGCTTGGTGGCTCTTGTAAGAGGGCTGTTATAAAAGCCAGAGCCTGGCCCCACCGGGCTCTCTCTTGCTTCCTGTTGTAGGTGTGATCACTTTCACACACACTTCCACCAGCGCTACCCACCGTGAGGTGACACATTGGGAGGGGACTATACAAGACCCTGTGCCGTGTTGCTTGGAGTTTTAGCCTCCAAAACTGTGAGCTCCAGAAACCTCTTTTCTTCATAACTGTCATGCTGCAGGTATCTCATTATTGCAACAAAAAGCTGACGGATATGTAGCCGTTAAGAGTCTGGGCTTTGTAGTCAGATTTCCGAGTTACAATTCCAGTTCCACACCTACTAACTATACAGTCCTGGTCAAGTTACTTAACCTTTCTAAGCCCCCAAATCCAGGAAACTGAACCAATAATAGAATTTATACTGTAAGGTTATTTAGGGATTAGATTAGATAATATAAAAAAAAACCTACATGTAGTCATATGTAATGAAGACCAGTTACTGTTAGTACTCTCACCATCGCGTTACTGCTACAGTTCACAAGCCCGATACAGACCTATGTTCTGATAGGGAATGGTGAGATTCTGGGCCAGATCCCAGGACCGGGTGTAGAGATAAAGGCAGAGGGGCATCATTCCCAGGGCAGCCACTGTGGAGCAGGTGGTCATGGTGATGCTGAAAGAAAAATGAAAACAGGCTTAGGAAGGAGAGTTAATCATTAAGAGTGTAGTCTTTGCCAACTTTACAAACTTAGCCCTTACCAAAAGCAACTCCTGGGACCCAGTGTCTCAGAGATTACATGGGGGCTGACCTCTGTCCTCTCGGTCAGTGGATGGGGCTTCACTGTGGTCTCCCCTTGGTTCCCTAGGTCACTGCTTCCATCCTTGTCAATTGCTCGGCTTCGTGATGCTCGCGACAGTGGTCAAGATGGCACCAGATGATCCTGGTGCTCTGCCAATTGTTATAAATAACAACCACGCCAGAAATGCAGCAGTGAATGGGTGTGAGCCCTAAGGAAAGTCACACCTTTCGTTTCACTGCCATGAATTCCAATGTAGCACAAACAGAGGATGCAGCTAACTGGGTCTCGACTATTCCCACGCAGGAAAGTTGGTGGCAATATCTGACTTCACCAGAACAAGATTCCACTTGCATTGAGAATGACAGAGTCATCCCCAAACTATTGCAGAGAACAGTGACAGAGATCCAGCAAGTCTGGACAAACAGGTAAGTCCTGAGCCTCCTTTGGAGCCAGGAAATTACACACACATACACATATGCACACACTTCATTAACATCCAGCATCAATAGCATTTTGCAACCGGAGCTTAAATAATTCAAATTGTTTTAATTTCAAACCCATCACATCAGAAACTCTTACCTCTTAAAAGTAAAGTACACACTCGCACTCTGGAAGAAAGAGAAAAATTATCTGGCTCACCAGATGGACCCGGAATGTACTACAAGGTTACATTCATAGACCCGATCCTGGAAAGAGTTCAGGGTCCTATTTCCAGCCCCAACTATAAATGCTCCTGATAACCCTAATGAGTGCTCGCTGAGTACTGAGTGCTGTGCCCCTCCGCCAGCCCATGTCAGATGGATCTGGACAGATGTGGGGAAGCCCAGATCTCTGCTAAGGAACCAAGGACTTCTTTAAAACCCTAATGAAAGAAAGCAGCTACAGTAGCCAGAATCCTTCTCCATAGCCGCCCTCAGGGAGGAGTGCACCTCACAGATGCGAGAGGCTGTCAGGTGCAGCCTGTGCTGGACGACGGCACGGACTGCATTTCAGGAGAAGTTTCGGGAGCACGCCGGGGCAATGGGAAACGTTGCTTCTGTCAGTCACACTTGTCAAGCACCTGCTCTCCAGAGATGACAGGCCTTGTGTGGGAGACAGAAGAGCTGCCCAGTGACTGCAGTGCCTTCTGAGAGAGGCAGAGAAAAAGTTACCTGTCAGCTATGCGGGGGACAGACAGGAAGAGCAGTTGTATCAAACAGCTTCCGGTGAAACGTTCAAACTGGGGCAGGAGAAAGGGGAGATTTGGATTTTATAATTTGCTCTTCCTTTTGTTTGTTTGTTTATCTGTTTGTACCAGGGATTGTACTTGGGAAGCAGGAGGCCAAACCACTGATCTAAATCCCTGGTCCTATAATTTGCTTTTCTTTATCCGTGCTCACAAATACTTAATACTTAAAAGAACCTTAGAACATCCATCAGGAGGCTACATCCGCTTCCTCGTCCCTTGAATCCGGCCTAGCCTGGCCAGCTCCAATAGCCAATGGAATGAGGTGGGTGCGATGAGGTAGTGGTTTCAATTTCAGGCCTCAGGAAACCTTGAAGCTTCCCTGCCTCAGGGCCCTGTGAGGATGGCCAAGGCCAGCCTGCTGGGGAAAGGAGAGCATGTGGAAGAGAGCCCAGGGGGCGCAGCAGAGACCTTCCAAGACCTATCTACATTTATCCAACCTCGAATGTGTGACAGAACCCGCCCAAGGCCAGCTGAACTCAGCCCAGGCAGGATAATTTCCCAGACTCTTCCCACACATCGGCCAACTACATTCTAGAAGTTACCGGGAAGCTCATAGTACGATTATGGGAATCAGAGGTCAGCTGGTATTCAAGGCTGTGTGAAGAATGTGATGCATGAAAGTTGGACACATGGGCTGTTTCCAGAGAAATGAGTCATCCATTTTTATTGTAAACCACTTGTGCTTATGGAAAAAATAGGAAATAAAGCTGGAGAAGACTGGCCTGGTACTTTCTGCCCAATTCAGCAGGTACTGAGAAACCCCCTGTACATATAACTTGTTTTCCCCTCCTAATCCCACGGTGTGGGTGTTATAATTTCCACTTACCAAAAGGAGAACCTCTTTGAAGTTTGGATAAAGGCTGTCGGCCTTACCCACTTACGGCAGACCATAGCAGAGAGACAGAGTGCTGAGCCGAGGTGTGAAGACACAGAAGTTGGCCAAGAAAGAGCATGGCAGGGTCTGGCCTGCAGGTGTGGCTGCAGGGATGGATGGGGAGTCACAGGAGGATGGGCTGCGGATTGGGGGAGTAAGGTGAGGAAGAAGGGGCGTCCCAGGGGATGCCACGCTGAGCCGGGCCTGGGAGAGTGACTGTGATCACCATCAGAGATGCAGAATTCAGGCACCGTTGCCAGCACATTGATTCCAAAATGCCTGTTTGGGGAGGACACATGGAGAGCCACAAGTCTACAAAGGACAGGGTGAAGGCAGGAGAAGCTTGGTGGGGCACAACTGGTTTCCTCATTTCCTGCATGAAATACTCTTGAATTTTATCCAGGAATTTAGCTCAGTCACCTGCCTCACAAGTGCAAGGACCCCAGTTCAATCCTTGGTACCCCCCAAAAAAAATTCATATAGTTTATTTAATTTTTTGCTTGCATTTTATTTTATTTTTGTACTAGGAATCGAACTCAGGACCTTGAGCTCGTGAGGCAGGCAGCAGCACCACTGATCTCAATGCTCAATCCCTGGCTTCTTGCATTTTATTTTGTAATGTGAGACTCAAAAATCTATATTTAGGAAGAAAAGTAACTAGTATTTATTGCAAACCTGTATATACGTGTGTGTGTGTGTGTGTGTGTGTGTGTGTACTTAGGTTAAATAATTAGATCAAGCCAGGCATGGTGGCGCACACCTATAATCCCAGCGCTGGGGAGGCTGAAGCAGGAGGATCTCTGTAAATTCAAGACCAGCCTGGGCTACATAATGAGTTTCAGGTCAGTCTCAGCTACGTAGTGAGACCCTGTCTCAAAAAACCCCAAAAAATTTTTTAATTAAATAATTAGACCAAATTTAAAATATAATTAGGGATAGCATTGGCAGAGGGAAGTAAAATGAACTTTACCTTTTATAGACTTGCCTTCATTGATTTTTTTGATATTACAAAATATGTAATGAGATGAAGATAATAAACATTCTGTTTCGCAGAAGCTTAAAGAGCAATGTTTCTACTCAAAGCAGAAGATCCAGCTGTGTCGCTAAATGCCATGAAGAAAAGTACAGATGGATGTAAACCAGATGTGGATTCCAGTGTGAGTCCTAACTCACTCATTCAGAGCCCCCGGCCAGCACTGCCCAGTCGGAATCACTGTTTCCTCAGCTGTAAAATTCAGATTAGCAAAGGCCATTTACAAGGCCATGACAGGAACCAAGAGGACACTACTCGTGAAGGCATAGACCCTGTACCTATCAGGGCACGGTGTAACTAATGTTAGTTTCCCTTTTCTTTTCCAAAGGTTCCAGTCCCAGAATTTCTCACATATATCTGAGATTGCTGCACAATATTTATCATTTCGCAGTTATGTTAATGACTGGTAAGGCACAAACTCATCAGTTTTTATATCTCTCATGAGTGGGTGAATAATTGTCACATAAAGGTTAACTACTCGCCTGAGTGGCATGAACCCATTAAGTGTATGGATGAGGTATGTGCCATGTGCCAATCATCGGCACATACAGGAAACCCAAAACCCAGGCCCACAGCTGACTCCCTGATACCAACTCCTAGCCCAGGTCTCACCTGTGATGCATTTGTTCATTCGCTGTACAGCAAATCTCAACTAAATCACATACACACGGTGCAAAAGCTTCAACTGACACATTTCATTCCCTGGGCGGGATATAAAAGAGTGTGCTTGTAAGTAAGCGAAGAATCTACAAAGACCATTGTTTTTAGCTCTTTTTTTTCCAACTCGACCCTTCTGTTTGTTCCGCAGATGTTTTCCCCACTGAAACATTTATTCCCAAAACAAAGGATTAAATCTGTCCTTCTTAAAATGTGAATAAGTGGTAAAACTAATGTCTCCCGGGGTGTTTATCTACACCAGTGACCAATATCAAGAATCTGCAAAATAACAAGAAAAAACAACTTCACATAGCCTTATGCTGCTCCCTAAGTCAAATTAGCAGCTCACAGCCAGGTGTGGTGGAACACACCTGTAATCCCAGCACTCGGGAGGCTGAGGCAGGAGGATCGCTGTGAGTTCGAGACCAGCCTGGGCTACATAGTGAGTTCCAAGTCAGTCTCAACTACATAGTGAGACCCTGTCTCAAAAAACCAAATTAGCAGCTCATTACTCAACCCTAAAGTAGATCTGTGAGGTACCCCTAAAACTCCTTTATATGGTCCCCCAAAGTGTTATTTCACAAGTAGATGCTGAAGAAACACTTATTCGACCTACAAGGCCTTCGCTGATTGGGCCTCCTGTCACCACCACCACCAGCACTGTCCCTGCAACCAAGCCACTAGATCATTAGCTTCTTGGGATTCCTGTCCAATGTCCTGGGAAACCGTTCAGGATGCCGTGAGTGAGAGTGCGTCCATGCTGAGAGCGACCAGCCTCTAATGTTACATGGAACAAATCCCACTCCTTGGAACAGTAGCTACCCGTAAAATAAAGGGAGGTCACAGCAATGCCAGCTTGGAGCTGAGAAAGGAAAGAAAGCCCCTTCTACAAAGAGCACATCTTTGTCACATGTCTGCAGTGTTCCCCGCTGGAATCTACGAAGCAACCCGAGAGTGTTCAGGGAAGGGCCACTGAGGCTCCCTCCGGGAACTCACCTGAGATCCATATCTCCATTCACCCAGAAGGTGAAGATGTTAGACACGGTCCCCCCAGGGCAGCACCCCATGATGAGGACGGCGACCGCTTGGACTGGCTTCAGGGAGCAGCTGAGGGCCAGGAGGTAGGCTATCAGCGGCATCAGCCCGAACTGGCAGACCAGTCCCACAGCAACACCCCAGGGTCTCCTGAGATGCCACCAGAGCTTCTGAACATCCACGGAGCAGCCCAGAGAGAACATGACCACGGCCATCATCACAGCGGACACCATGGTGAAGACTAGTTCTAGGCTCCCGTGTGCCCCTGGCATCCCGGGCAGCTCCTGCTCTGAGCCGTTGGCAGGACAGGCAGAGCTGCCGGAGCAGTTGGCTGTCATCTCCTCCACACAGCATCCCAGTGAGAAGGTGACGGGAGCTTGGCAGGTCTATCCTGCCACACTTCGTAACAGTGCTGCCAAGTCAGGTGTGGAGAACTGTTCCAGTCGCGATTGGCCAGCCAGATGACTCATCCTGATCCGATCGACTATTCACTGCTGCCATTCGAAAAGCAGTGAGCAGAAGCCTAAATGTACAGGAAGCTGTGCTCAGCAAGGCTTTCCGCTTCGGCTGTTACTCACAGGTGAACACTCAGGAGAAACAAGACAGCGACGTCACTGTCAAGTGGCGCGGCCGGCCCTGCCGTCAGCACCACACCGCGTTCCAGGAAAGTAGGTTGGGTGCCAAGACATAATTTCTCCAAACTCTGCAGGATTTTAGGAGCCGGGATGCGCAGTGATGTGGAGAGAATAGCTAACTCCGGAAAAAACAAGGCAGCTCTGCCAAAGCCACGCCTCCTGGCATGAGCTAAGCGTTGCTGTGGAAAAAATTAAAGCAAAAGGAGGCTGCTTCAAATGTCAGGAGGGACTGCAGTCGTTTCAAGGGACCTTCACAACCGGCCTGAGTGCCTCTGCTTTCTGCTGCATGAGAATTCGTGTCCATCGTCGGTAACTAAACACCTGCCAGAAGAAGAAGGTGTTCAGCCCCAGAGGATGTCTCATGAAACATGGAAATTCTTTTCTGAAGCTAAAATAACTCCCAAGAGCTGCAACTTTCTTTTTGAGACCTCCGGGCCATCTGGAGAAGTCTAGGAAACCCTGCCTAGTCTGGAACCCGAGGCCAGGCAGGCTCCAAACGCACTGCCCCGTGGCCCTGAGTGCGCTGCCACCTGGTGACAGAAACCAGACAAGGACAGTAGGCATCCCTGAAATCAATTTCCAAACCGCAGGAGCCACGCCCTTTCCCACAGCCGTCCTTGTCTTTGTGGGAAGAGGGACACTTTATCCGATGCTGACGGAGCCCATCCCAAGAGAATGCACGCTGCAGTGTCTGGTCTAGGACTAGCAAATTCTCTTCCATGTCCAAAGGCACAGCGCAACTTAGATGCCCATACATGCAGCTGGATTTAATTGTAAATACTTTCTAACTACTGAGGAAAGGACAAACCACCCCGGGCAAACCCTCCAAAAGCGGCTCTGCCTGGCAGTTTGAAGAAACTGCCTGGAAAGGAAGCCCCAAGGACGGAGCTGGAGGCAGCCAGCAGCGTGTTCCCAGCTTGAGTGGGGCAGCATGCCAGGTGCTTTACCAGTGTGTGACTGTATCTGATGAGGCCAGAGGCTTATTATTTACGTGCTTATTTAGTAAGAGGAGGTATGAGATGCTTCTGTCTGGTAATGTAAAAAAGTCCCATAGCAAGCCAGGCGTGGGGCTGAAAGCCTGTTATCCCAGCCCTCGGGAGGCTGAGGCAGGAGGATCGCTGTGAGTTCAAGGCCAGCCTGGGCTACAAAAGGAGGCCCTGCCTCAAAAAAACAAAAACAAAACAAAACAAAGGTCCCGTAGCAGATCTTTTTATCCCCTACAAGTCACCTGATGACCCTTCCTCATTATACAAATTCAAGTTTAGTATGCACCCCCATTCCTGGTGAGGGTGATGTCACAGGAACTTTTATGATTTGCTGAGTATTCCATGTTGATAGCTGGGGATAGGGCCTAAATTTGGGGGTGGGGATAAATTTGCCTACAGACTTTAAGGAGCCTCACTGGCCAGGTGGCCTTGACCACACTTCCCTTTTGAAATTTAGTGTCACCAAAAATTCTCAAAGCTGCTAGGAGCACCTGTGATCCCAGCTACTCAGGAGGCTGAGTCATTAGGATACCAAGTTAGAGGCCAGCCTCTGCAATTTAGTGAGATCTGTCTCAAATTAAAATTAAAAGGCTGGGTGTAAGTCAGGGGTAGAGTGAGCACTAGTATGTGCAAGGCCCTGTGTTTGATCCCTAGCACCAAAGGAAAAAAAAAATTCTCCAATGAATAGGATGATTCCAACCGAGGTCTGCCATGTCAAGGTCCTGTTAGCCACCAAGAAAGAAAGGGGGGTCCTGACTGATGCGAGATTCCTCTGGACCCCACCACCCAACACAGAAGGGTGACACAGGACACAGTGGGTGGCATCTGAAGGAAGGAACTTTGAGGGCCCAAGCCTGGGCACCACCACTGTGTAACAGGACAGGACAGGAAGGCGCATGGTGGCCTGGGCAGAGGCCACGACACTGAGGCCCTGCTGTAACCCAGGTCGTGACAGCAACAGCAGTGGCCGGACATAGAACTGTCAGAGAACTGACCGGGTTGGAAAGGAAAGCCACAGCTCTCAGTGTGCAAGGCGACGTCACAGAGGGAGCCACACTCACTGTGCTGCTTGGCCAGGAGGAATTCGAGTGACCATTTAAACAGTGTTAAAAGGTGTGGCCCAACTCACCCCATGCCTGTGAGGGAGGCCCATGGAAGCCTCACAGCCATGCTAGGAGGTAAAAACCATCCTTCCCCGCTGTCCAGGTCAGGAAACCAAGGTCCAGGGCTCTGTGGCCTGGTCCTCTGAAAGGATGGGCACGGCCAGGGATAAGACACCACCATACCACTGTGGAGACACAGATGAAGGATCCCTAAACTCTGGTTTCATCTCCTCTACTCACAAATGTCAATGGCACTTAAATATGTTCAGTGCATCCGCGCCTTCCTCTTCAGAGCCCTTTCCAAGCATTTCATGTGTTACTCACCTCTGCCAATAGACTTAGAGATGAAATATCCCCCAGAAAACCAACTGAGGGCCTGCCCTGCTCAGGCCGGGGATGGGAGGCTGAGGGGAAAGAGAATTAAACTTGGCTGTGGAATTGTTTACCTGACTTGGGAGGTCAACACCAGGGGGGTCTTCTAGAACCTGCAAGGACATAAAAATCCTAGAGGTGCCAGGAGAGTTTAGATAAATTTGTGGGAGACAGATCCCAAAGGAAACTAGCAGTAATGGGGAAAAAATAGACTGTTTACTCAAACAAGATACATATCAAAAGCTTAATGCAGTATTTTTTAAAAATTAGACCTCAGAAGTAGAAATAATAAATGCCACACAAGAAAGAAGGCAAAATACTTCAAAAGAAAATTTGCCAAAAACAAGATGCAAAAACAGTTTAAAATGGTGCATCCCTGTAATCCCAGCTTTTGGGAGGCAGAGGCAGGAGGACTGTCATGAGTTCAAGGCCAGGCTGAACTACATAGTGAGACCCTGTCTCAAAAAAGAAAAAAAATAGTTTAAAAATTTAGTAGTCTGTAATCCCAGCACCTGGGAGGCTGAGGGAGGAGGATTGCTATGAGCTCGAGGCCAGCTTGAATTAGAGTGAGACCTTGTCTCAGAAAAAAAAAAAGAAAATACTAAAGTGGTCAATCACTAATAATTGTGAGTGTATTTTTTTTAAATAAGAAGCACGTTTTCAAGATTCCTTTAATATGTTTTCCTTTTTTAAAATTAACCCAAGCTGTGGCATATAGTGGCACATACCTGTAATCCCAACACTTGGGAGGCTGAGGCAGGAGGATGGCCTCCAGTTCCAGTCCTGCCTGGGCAACATAGTGAGTTAAGGGCCAACCTGAACTATAAAGTGAAACTCTGTTTCAATAACCCAAAAATAAAATAAAATTAACCCCAAATAATGTAATTTTCTTTATTCTTGAAAAAAACAAAACACATATTTTGCCTTCCAGTAAGAAAAAGACATTTTTAGGGCTGGGAATATATCCCAATGGTACATCACTTGCCTAGCATGCCAGGCCTTGGGTTTGAGTCTCAGAACTGAAATAGAGAAAAAAACTTTAAGTGAATATCTTAGTTGAGGATTTAGCTCAGTGGTACCACTGCCTGCCTCAAAAAATGCAAGGTCATAAGTTTGATCCCCAGTACCAAAAAAAAAATTTTTTTTTAAAGTGAATATCTCAGTTTTAACATTTTAAGGTAAAAGACATTCTCATATACCAGAGGTAGGACTTAAAATTCATACAATATTTCTGAAAAATGTCTGGAAATATTTACTAACTATCTTTGTTACTATAAATCTAAGAAATCATCCTCGTAAATAAGTTTCCATATTGGCAAACATGCATTTATTTCTTTGTAGAAGATATTCCTACTTATAATAGCATTCTTACTTATAAATGCATTGTTATTTAAAATAGGATCATATTTATAAAGCAGAAAACTGGCAACAAAAGTCCAAAGCAAAACTAAGCATATAATGGTATCACTACAGAGTGAGGTATTATGGAGCTATTTAACGTGAAAACATTATTTTGACACAGAAAAATGTTTATGATAGGAGGTTAAATAAAAAAATTGAAACAGGGTCAGGAATATAGCTTAGTGGTTCCATGCCTGCCTGGCAAGTGCACAGTCCTGAGTTTGAGCCCAGGGACCTAAAAAAAATCAAATGATATGATATGTACAAAATGCTCCTAGTTGTGTTAAAATAGTAAGCAGGAGTTGGGCTGGGGGTGCAGCTCACACTGCAGCCTGTGCCTAGTGTGCACAAGACCCTGGGTTCCATTGCTGCCAGTACCAGATTTGCACAAAATCCTCATAATCATAGTCAGAATCAGAATCAGAAAGCAAATGAATGGAAAGACTCCAAAGTTTTCAAGGCAGTTACTTCTGTTTTTTGTTTGTTTGTTTTTTTTTTTAGGTACTGTCGGTTTGACTCAGGATCTTTGCACTGAGTTACACATTCTAATTTTATTTATTCATTTATTTATTTTTAGTACCAGGGATCGAACTTGGATCCTTGAGCTTGCAAGGCTGGCAGCGGAACCACTGAGCTAAATCCCCAGCTCTCAAGGTGGTTACTTCTGTAGTAAAGATTATGGGTGATTTTTTTTTCTTCTTTGTATATTTTAAACTATTTAACACCTTTGAAATAGCTGCCAATTACTATTTTTATGATCAGGAAGAAAAGAGACCAAAGGAAAAGAAGTAACAAGAAATGGCTGTGTTGAGCAGCAGCTCCCTAACCCTTGGTAGCAGCTGGGAGACTTGGACGACTTAGAGCCCTCAGGATGCAGACTGCTGAGTGACTCAGCTGTTGTCTCTTCTTTTGGGTTTTTATAAGGGCCCTTGACAAACACCCGAGCTTCCAAGGTAGACACACCTGCAGACAAGGAAATTTGAGTCTGAGAACGACAACCACTGGGTCAGGACCAGGAAAGGGACGCAAAGTTCTTCCCAGACACAGACCCAATCCGCAGCAGGGAGGTGGACAAGGCTGTCCATAAACCCGCTTGTCCCTGCCCCATGGTACACAATGCGTAACGTCTCTCGTGGTCCTCTTCCCAACACCCTTTCTGGGCTCAACTCCTGTGTTTCACAAAGCCTTTTAAATCATGACAAGCCAGTGTAAGTTGAGCTTGCCGCCATGAGAACAGATGGCTGATTTTGAACAGATGCTGGTTTTCTGCCTAATCGCCACCATTCATCGGATCATTCTATGTGCCGAGTCCGCCAGAGAGTCCTCACCAGGTCCCAGTTACTCCTCCCCGCAGCCCTGCCCAGCAGGAGCCACATCGCTCCGTTACCCTGGGAGCAGAGAGGCTGTCGAAAATCAAACTTGTCAGGGCAATGCCAGTGAGCAGTGAAGGCAAGATGTT